GTGACATGTACGGCGGAATGGTTCGTTTAACTCCAAATTTGTTAAAGAAAATTTTAAAAGTAAAGGTCTAAACTGCCTGGTAGAGCGAGCGGGAATGTTAAAATTAATTTCAGACAAGGGAGATGGGCTACAGACTGACCCCTTGATGAGTTTTACAAGAAATATTATACCAAGCATTTCCCTACGACTAGCGAGTGTAGGGAGATTTATAAGTTTTAAACGGTTAGTGTAGGGGAAGATTTAAACTGGAATCCCAATGCAAATGATTTAAGGCAAAAAGTAAAAATTATGACTTATAGAGTTTGAGTCAATAGAGGTCTTTGCTTCTCAATYGCCTACTCAATCCGTAGTAGCACCTGTTGGCAAGAGTTGTCCTGCGTTGGATTTCCAGGCTGTTATTGTTGGTGGTGTTTACGCTGTTCCAAGATAGACGAAATTATCTACGACATGTATTGGAGTGATTACGGCAGACCTCGTATAATTGCAGCTATGACACGAAACCGTCATGAGAAGATTCGACAATTTTTGAACATCAGCAACAATAACGCAATGCCTCATTGCCGTAATACTTGTCAGCAAATGAGGTTGATATTCTTATTCTTCTTTACTGGAGTAGAAACCACTTACGCGTTTATAACGAAGTTAACAACAGCGCGTCAGTCGTTTCTTTTTTTCGCAAGGTGGCGCCAATTGGAGATTTTTAACGAAGCCAGGTCCTTCTTCACCTGGTATTTGCAACGGAGTGGAGGTATTCTTCTTCCCCTGCTTCCCCTGCCAGGTAATGCGTCGAGAACTTTCAGTGTTAGAGTCTTTTCGTCCATTCGGATGGCATGATGTTGCTGATGCTGGTTACAAGATAGACAAAATTATCTACGACTTCTAAGTTGCAGGTGCCTCGTCGCGAGTGCGACAAATGTTTGTTTGATGAGAGGAGATATTCCGCCTTGCCCTGATTCACAACTACATCCATTTGCTTCGCTGCCTTTTTTGGAGAAAACAGAACTAGCGGCACGGGTGTTGCGACCAATGATATCAATACATCGCAGCATAAAGGCATCTCCTTTTCGTGCTATCAAAAGCTTTGAAGTCGAAGGCGCGTGGTGATTATCTGGTTAGTTGTTGATTTGAGTCTACACTGATAAACTCCAATCAGTCTGTTGACGGTGGGCTTTAACCTTTTACACAGTACGCTCGATAGAACCTTATAAGCGATGTTGAGGAGGTTTATACCATGGTAGTTGGCGAAGATTGGGGAACTCTCTATTTGTAGTTTGGGCAGAGAACAGTTGAATTCTTTTGCTATAAGAGTATAGCCACAGTAGTAAATGCCACAAGGACCTACTCGCTTCAGTCCTTGCCCCGTCCATTGCATTTCTTGGACGGCAGTGCTCAACTTTCTGGTCAGCAGCCCTTATCAATTAAAAGAACGGATATTCCAGGTGCGTGCCCTATCTAATCGAAAAATCTTTAAACTTTTTCATTGGGGTGTTTTTTACGTGGCGGGTCTCAAATCTAGCGCACAACTCTCTGGAGGGGATTTTTCGCCTTCTTTCTTTATCTCGCCTTCAAACGAATGTTTGTTGGCTACTCAGAGGATTCTACACTAGTCTCCTGTTGTTGGCTTATTTGGAACTTCAAGGAATTTACGCATTGGGAATAGTTCGACGAATGAGTATTCCAGTGAAATTTCCAAATCGGGGTGAGATAGTTTGATATTTCCACAGTCTCCTGGAAAGAAAAAGAAGTCTCCTGGAAAGAGAAAGTGGTTAACATGGCTTCAACACGAATTCATATGCGAAGTTGCCGAAGTCTTGATGACAAATGGAACTATGTTACAAAGAAAATGAGCCGGAAGTAACAGAATCAGATTTCCGCGAAACGATCTCGTCTTAATAGAGCCTCGCTACCGCCGCGTGGTATAAGGTTAAAGATTATTGGAAATTTTTCTTAGTTTTTAAATGATGGAAAACCAAGATGCATACATCATAAATTTTCATCACGTACGCAAATTTATTGCATAAAATGTGGTATATCTCTTTGTTTAACGTCACAGAAAAACAGAACAAATGTTGTTTGTACCCGACCGACAGTTACAAGTATATTACATATCACATTTTTGATTTACTCGGAGTTATCAGGCTTTTAAGGGTTAATGCTATGTCATAACTGCAAAGCTTGATAAAAATCRAATCGAAATATTACCCAGCCCCGATGCTTATACTTGTATGGGAATACTGGTACATAAGAATTTCAAGCTTTCGGTTGGCTTTATACCGTATATCATATTTCGGTATATGTGAAATATCTTAGCACAATGAAATATAATATTGAATATCCGCAAACTGTTGTGAATATACGATATTGATCCACGAATTACACTAATTTTCATACGTTAAATATAATATAATAATTTTCATTAGTCAATTGATTTAATCTAAAATTTCCTACAAATTTCTCCTGAACATTTTTCCTACAGCTCTTGTCCTTTACGAGATATATACAAATGAATTCGAAATTCGTGGAAAAATCGGGTTTAGAGCTCTGTGCTACTTCAACGGCTTGAGTTACGATTTTGTTGCACGAGGCACTTTTGTAGAGTGAACGATTCTGAGAAATATGCGTCTGAAGTCAAAATAGAAAAAAAAAATTCAGGGAATTTTTTATGGTATTTCCAAGGAAATTCCGTGACGGGATTAAAACAATTAAAAGTTAAAAAAAAAATCGGCTACTATCTATTTTCCATACCCCTAGAAGTCGGAAAATTGGACAATTCCGAAAATGAACCTTCTTTTACGCAATTTTTTTTGTTTTATTTTTCAATATTTTGACTTCGTTCAATGTCGGTCACTTGCTTTTTTATTCCGGCTATTCAAAAGTGAATTATTGAAAATTATTCAGTGAAAACTTTATGTGCGTTTCACGCAAAGTGATCAATTACAGATTGAAATTTGCTACATCGGTGTTCTTTTTGCCATCAACGTATGGCAGGCCAAGACACATGAACGAGTACTCCCAGGATGCGATGACATACATGGGGAATTATTGATCCCTGTCAATCAGCAAGCGATTATCACGATATTGCAGCACGACTTTTCAAACAACTACTACGATGTTTGATGGACTTTATCTTGAAACAACGTATATGTGGTGCTGTTAGATGCTAAATGTACTCTGTTGAGTGGAAAAAGAGAGGTTTGCCACATGCACACATTCTTTCTTGGAAATTTCTGATGTAGAGAAGGATCCGGTGTTATACGAAGTGATGAAACCCAATATGATTCATGGACCTAGCGGTCACCACAACCCCACTTCATATCAATCAATATTGAGTATTACTGTTTGGTGAAATCGTACAAATGCGTTTGCAAGTACGTTACCAAAGAAAGTAACGTGGCGTTTATTGTCCATCAAATGGGTCGATAAATGAATTGCAATGAAGCGCTTTTAGGATATTTACTTTTGCAATTCATGAACCTTTTCCGACTGTTTTGCATCTCACAGTTCATTTGGAGAAGGCCAAAGTGTGTATTTCAACCCCGGAAACGCCGCCAACAACAAARTTGACTTTGACGAATATTTTCTCGACTTGCATATTGTATATTATACATGTGATACATCGTCGAAGAAATGTTTACACGGAAAACAAGGCCAACCAGTAGATGGACATTCAGTTGTGTTCTCAGACTAATGCATTAGGATGAGTTTACACAATCCACCCGGAAAACGACGATTGCTTCTACCTTCTATTTCTATTGATTAATGTACGCAGTTCAACTTCATTGCGTACTGTGTATGGCACGGTGTACAATTGCTGGAACATGATATTCACTGGAATCAAACATTGGACGATGCGATAGTTGCTTCGCATGCTACTGAAGTTCGCACACTTTCCGCGATGACGCCTCCAAACCTGCGTTATGTATGGGATACGAACAAAAATTAAATTACTGAAGACATTTTACATCGTATTCGCTAAGAATTGTAAGTGGGCAAATTCTGATCATCTTGACAATGAAGACGAAGCCGTGATTTGTCCAGTAGAATTTCCAATTTCTTTGGAGTGGATTGGTATGCCGCCGCATCTTTTGCTTCTCAAAGTTGAATCTGTCATTCTTATGTTTCGCAATCTTCATGCGCCGAAACTATGTAATGGAACTAGACTGACTGTGATGCAGCTATCGAATACAAGGGCGCCGAATACTTGGGACTACAATTTTTTTTTTAGTTCCAACGAAGAAATGGGGTCAGCTAGTAGTATTATAAATTTATCTCAATATTATTTCATGGAATAATAAAATTATATGTATTGTACTCATTTTTTACATGCCAATGTTTTGAAAGATTTTTAAAATTTTAGTTCAGTTAGTGTACCTACCATATTTTATTGGACTTAATATGTATCTCTTTAGGTAATTGGTAAAACTTAAATTCACTTAAATCTGGTATTACGAAAATCCTTTTATGAAATAATATTAATGGATCTCAAATTACAATAGAAATATATGTACATATTTCTCAATGTCTAACCAAAATTTTATACTTATTTATAAAATAACGGAGGTATGATTTTGAGATTTAGAATGTACGTCTACTGCAGCACTGAAAAGTGCTGTGGAAAATAGCGCTTCGGTAAGCCTGTTTGTATCAACTGGGTAGACATGTATTCGGCCAAACTATGAGTTCAGGTAATTGACATAAAAAATAAGTATTTAGAGATGATATGTATATTTACATAAATATGCGTAAGTTAATATCATATCATTCTTATATATTTTTGCGGCTGTTGCCACTGACAATGAATGCATGGCTATAATATAAGCTATTTTAATGTTAGCTTGTATGTATACGTATAACATTCTCGTTGACTAGAATTCAACATGGTAAATATACCAGAACAATTGCTAAGAAAAGGAAAACATAACAAATATATGCCATCACACTCGTACCCAAATCTTATGAATAATGAAAAAGTGTTCTTATGTGTGTGTATGCCTTTGTCGACAGTATGTCGTATGATAGCGGGCCGGTAACACGTTTTTAAGCAAAAGAAAGTATTGCATGTAAAAATTTCTATAACCTGGTTGTACCACAACGGTTGAATGTCTCACATTATGCTAGCCTAAAACGTTACTTAAGATATATTTGTAAGTTTACTGCAATTTGATAAAAAATATATTTCATTAAAGTGTTTCAATGTTAATGTTTTTACAAATGTGTGAAAATAGTTATGATTGTAGATATTTGTGCATACAGTTAATAAGTAAACATTTAAGCTTACATTATTGCGTTGAATTAAAGTTATACATGTGCACTAAATAAAAACACATACTTGCGTACATAAATTAAAAGTCACAGTGTAATATTAAATGTATATTGTTCTACAGAAAAGCGTAAAGATTGTTCAATAATGTTCTATTACTTGTTGTTTAGTTTTGTGCTTAATCAATAAATATCTTTCTCTTACAAAAATAAAACAACTGAATACCACCAAAACAAATAATTTTGGTAAAGCGAAATAAAGATTATATAAAAAAGAAATTAACAAGCAAAGTTTATAGTAATAAAATGAAAATTGTATACAAAAATAATAAAAAATATGAATTAGTAGATTAGTAGTTTAATGATTAGTTGTGGATTATAATATGATCAAAACCCTACTTGAAATTAGGAGTAAGTATTATTTGATTTTAAAAGTAATTTAAAATTAAACACCAGCCTGGAGAAGTGAGGAAAAAGTGGATATGGCATAAAATAATAAAAAGTTTAACAAAAAACATAGCAGATTGCTATCAACCATCTTGTATGTAGACATGACAGTGAATTCATTACATCTAATTTTCGCAGTATAAATGCAATGTGTGGTACAAAGAGTACCATACTCCGTTCTATAAGAAATTACGATTATTAGCATCATAATCAATTTCCAATTTTCAATATAACGATATCCTTAAAAATATGTGGATAAGCACAATTAGTTTCTGCAAAAAAGACTTAGAATACATAAAGTATTATCCACATAATGACGTGGCGAGAACTAGTAATGAGTGTGCAAAAACTATAATTTATTTTCTATAAGCTTTAAGTGAAATCATTATTTGTGGTATATGGGTACTGGGGAGATTCGCATTTTTGGTACCAAGTCGTAAAATAATAAATGAAAGAGCATTTCATTTAGTAGATATTGACTGATACTTGTAGAAGTTAAGATATTCATATTTATTACATCATTAAATCATAGTATTCTTTATCTTATAGTTTAATTAACAAACGGTTTAAAGATGTGCATATTAAAACACTGAAGGGGCAGCCCCGCCCAATTTAAAAAAAAATTTCGTCCACAATTCTTCGCAACTGTGATCCCCTATGCCAAATGATAGCTTTACATATTCATTTAGTGCTTAGTAATGCACTTTATAAGTTCCCTTATCGCTTGCACGGGCATACGGATTTCAACTCGTTGACAATGACCCCTTCTTTTTTGATAAACTATCTTTTTTACTGGATCTGGTTCATCAAAGCCTAATGAGTAATAAAATGGCACGATTTCGGCTACTTTGGCGGAGGGGTAAATAAACCGAATTTCCGTATAAATGGGGTATGTGCGGATAGGGGAGCTTCTCCAGAGGAGGAATATCGGAAAATAATATAAAAATAACAGATATTTTTTTTTTAATATTTACGATTAAAAGTTCAAAAATTTACACTAATAACACATGGTATTTCTCTATCTTTCACTAAATTTATTCACGTTTTTCATTCTGTATATTGAAATATGTTCACATTTCTATTTTGTTTTGTAATATATTACCTACATTTATTAATTTAAAAATCACTTAGCACACACGTTGTTGCAAATGTTAGATTATTTACAATTATGAGGAGAACGAGCGTTGCCACATCTTAAAAACCAAATTGTAGGATTCTTCACGATTTTTCTTTGTTTGTTTTTTTGCGTGTTCTACATTAATTACAATAAAAACACTTTAAAACATTTTTAAAGTTATAATTGAGTTGAGAACACTTTTTCCATCTACATATGTAAATATATGTATAATATGTGATTTATATTTAAGAAACACAAATAATTAAAATTCTATGATAATATTATAAAACTTATATTATATCAGTATGACCAAAGTACTTTCGCGTTGTACTTCTTTCGGCGTTGGCGGCCTTCGGCCGCGCTCTAAAAAAATAACCCTGGTCGAGCGAATACCCGGGGTGACTGAAGTACTTTCGCATTGTACTCCTTTCTGCGTTAAAAATATATTGAGTTTTCGTTATAAATTGGTTGAATTTTGGTTATTAAATCTGTGACAAGGTGAAAATCTAAAATCGTGAGCCTTTTTAGTGCTGCCATCTTCTTTAGAAAGCTTGTAGATCTTTCCTTTTGGCGGGATTGATAAATAAATGTAGCTAGGCCCTAGTTATTTCAAAATGTTATATCAAAATGAACCCCTTATAGCTGTATCATACACCATACCATACACCCAAATCGGTTTAACTACTGTGAGCAAAAAATAGTAAGACTCTTCAATTTAACTTTCGCATTGAAACCCATTCGTCAAAATATTTTTTTTCTAGGTTAGAATGAAAGGTAACATCTGTGCCAAATCTCACATCAAAATAATCATTAGTGTTTAGTATACCCTAGTGTTGCTGAAGTAAATAAAGTACATTCGGCGACTTTTGCGGTGAGTGAAATTATTCAATAAAGAAAATATATTAAATTCTGTGTGCTCAATCAAATTCAAGTGTTTTGATCAGTACAAGTAATTCAAAGAGGGGCGAGAATGTGTTGACGACGAACCACATCCAGGGCGACATCAACCTATAATCAACACATCAATAAAATAAAGGGATTGGTGCTTGAAAATCGACAATCAACAGTCAAAATTCTTACTAACGTTGTTGTAATATCGGATAATTAGTTCTCGATTAGTTCTAAAATCACTCAATTTTGCGAAAGATGGCGTAGTTTTGACGTCTGCGAAGCAATGCTTTCCGACATCCGAGGATGTCATGTAATTTATTATTACGTGCGACGAGTCTTGGATCTATGCTTACGATCCTGAAACAGAAGATAAATCGACCGAATATCGTGGCGAGGGTGAGCCGAACCCGAAAAGACAACGTCAAAGCAGGTCAAAAATCAATCAATTCTCACGAAGAATATATGCAGTATGCGAGGGTGCATTATAGTGGTGCAAAAACCAAGGCTTGTAGGCCCAAAGTTCTGACCTCTTTTTAACGAATAGCTTCGCTCAAACGACGCATAACACTCAGATAGTATCCCTTCGCCGGTCGGAAGGAATTCGGAGTGCACCACACCACGAAAATCGAAGAAAACTCACAACATAACCTTCATTTTTGACCTGCCTTGACGTGGTTTTCCGGCAGGCTCATCTCTGCCACGATATTCGAAAGGCCTTGTTGTCGTATGTTTTACATTCGTTAACGCGACGCTGTTTTTCGAAAAGTTTGAGTGATTTTAGTTTTCGTGCTTTCATTTTTCTTAGGCCCAAATTATCTACAAAGAGGTTTTCACTGATCCTTTCGATATTCAAACGATGCCAGTAAGATCTCTGACGTCGATTCTCAGGCACCGATTCCTTAACTATATTGACATGTGATTTATCATTATTTATTGGTGTTGTTGAATCCTCGATATGAATTATCGTTAATGCGTTCTCGACCCTCTTTGAATCATTTGTACCAGTCAATAACACTTGTTTGCGGCAAACAATTGTCACCGAAGACCTTTTCAAACTGAACGTTCAGGCAAAAGAAATTATTTTATACATACAAATATTACTGGCACTTCATTGTTGAATAATTTCACTCATCTATTTTATGTACTTAAGAAAGGCAAGCGTATACTAAATACGAATAACTATTTTTATGTGAGACTTGGCATAGATGTCACTGATAGTCACCCAACTTAGGAAAAAATATTTCGATGAATGCGTTTTCATGCAAAATTTAAATTAAAAAATTTCACCATAGGTGGTCCACAGTAGTATAATGTAAATTGCAATTATATAATATTATACCATATTAACCATATATTAAATAAAATTCTATTCTAAAATTTTTAAATGTGTTGAGGGTATAAAAACTGTATCGTACTGTCTTTTTGGAGGTCGAATTTGATTCTATGAATTTGTTGGCTATGAATTTATATCTTCAATTAGGTCTCTGCTTAGATATTATCACTTAGGCTGTCAAGGAGAAAATTGTTGCAATTCTCAAATGGTGATAAATATGCAAATAAAAAAAATAACTTAGTAATCAATTTACGAGAAATTTTTCGATAAACTCAAATGTAATATTAAAATATCACTCACATGTCAACACATCTTTCAAATAAAAAATTGAACCCTTCGAAACCTTCGAAACCTTCAAACACCTAATGCAATAATCTCTGCCTTCTGATTGACTTTCTGTCGGAAACAAAATATAACAACGACACTAATTACTTGAAGAATAGATCAAAAAGATACCCAATATAATTGTTATCCATAATAAATTCTCACGTATAGTTTTAATACTCCCGCAACATGTTACTAAAAAGTTTAGTAGTTTTATTCACCTAACAGTTCTTTGTAACTGCTATATACTTCGTGTGTTTTTCGAATCGGCAAAGTTTTTTCTGTAAGTTGGTAGTACTGTTAGTGACATCTATGCTAAATTTCATGTTAAAAAATTCATTAGTATTTGAGATATTTGTGAGGCTCTAAAAGAGAATTCTTCGATTTTTACTAAGTCTGAATGCTCATACTGCATAAGTTATTCGAAATCACTTCGCCACATTTTCAATTAATAACGTGCCGCAACTTCCGCATTCGCCTGATTTACCAACGTGTAGTTTCTAGCAATTCAGCAAATTCACATGACTACTCCGAGGACATCGTTTTGACTCAATTGAAGATATGCTCCCGACGAGCATTTTTCGAAGTGCTAAGCTGACTGAAAAATTCGTTGGTATAAGTGTATTGTAGCCGGAGGGGATTATTTTGAAGGAGTGAAATTGACAAAATTCCCCTTTCAATTTGACCACAGTGGTACGAAGTTATATCTAAACAAGAAAAAACGCTAACTTTGGCTGCACTGAATCTAATATACCCTTCACAAATGCATATCT